CATGAGTTATTCTCAACCAATCTTCATGGTTTTTTCAGGTTAGGTTCCTCTAATAAGCCGTCAGTACCATAGAAAAAAGTTACAGATTCATTTCAAATAAAGCTGAAACTGCTGAATGCATACAGGTTAAAAGATCGATTTTTTGCTGCCACCAACTGTTGAAACTTATCGTAAAAGTGATTTCTTCCTTTCTGGTTTAATTTTGGGAGTTAGTAGAGCTACAACAGGTAGTCTCAACTTTTCGAATATAAGATTGATTTGTGTTTTTATCATGATCTTGCTCATTTTTTTTCCTGAGTGTTAGATGTACAGTCACTATTCAATTACTATTTATCCTAAATCAAAAATAATTCTGAGATTGAACCAAGCAATGAAGAACCATCATGGTACTGTTGAATGAAAGACTGCAAATAGGAGATAAACCTATTAAAAAAGATAAGGAAATTGTATTATTTCTTGTTTACCGAAACTATGAAACAAAGCTTGGAACTTTGATTGTCACGCTAAATACCACGCAAGATTTTTCATTTTGCTTGACCTACAATTTTCTTGTTGTAGGGAAGTTTGAGATGAAACTTTTATCATTTTATTTATTCATTATGATCGATTATCATTGAAAATATCAGCGTTAGACAATTTATGGTTCATGAAACAAAGAAAAATAATGCTAATATGCCACGCAAGATTTTCTGTGAAAAAGATGTCACACCGTCTTCTAACATATATAATACTTCACAGTTAAGATCAAAGTAAATCTATTTTACATTAGTTTAGGTCTAATGTTAGGTTTTATCAAAATTACTACGAACTGATTTTAAATTGTGCTTTATATAAGTCCTACGATGTCGACATATGTGAAACTTGAAATTAGAATTCGATTCCACTTTCAAATAAACACAGTCACTCTCTCCATATGGACGTCGTGGAAACAGACAATTGAAACTTGAAAAATAGTTGTTTAAATGAATTCAAGTTTCAAGATTGGTACTATTGCTAACGCGATACTTTGTGGACGTGTTGCCGTATGTGTTTTCATGGCATCGTCGGCTAACCTCTTGTTGTCTGACCTCGATACCGCGATAGTCTTACGTGATACAGTAATTATATATATTTGCCAAGTGAAAGAGGATGTACAATGGTCCTGCAGTTTAATCCTCTGTTAATTATCACATCCCATTCAACTATGCAACTGATGATTGTAGCACGTAATCAGTGGTAGACATGAAATAGTGCTAAGTTTCGTATATGTTCAGAAAAGCAGTTTGTAGGATGAGATAAATTCAGTTTCATAAGTCATTGATGAAGTTATACTGAATGAAAAGCGCAGAAAACTTTCCAGTACCTGAAACCTAACGTTATCATAAAAGAAGGACATGTGGGGGATGATTTCAAGTATACAGAAGGCAAAAACTACACCAATAGATATATAAAATTTCATTTGTTTGATTTTTTGTATACCTCTTGGAAGATTATTTAACCATCTCAATAGTCTATTCGACTACTCAAACACTGTTCTTATATGCCTGCGCCTTCAACATTTCGGATATATTCAAAATCTTCTAATAAAGGATGGTTCAGAAGTTTTGGCTCGATTTGAATATTAAGTTTTTCTATAGTGAAACATGTGCTTGCAAACTTGTCTCTTTAGCGTGAAAAGATGCAGTGAAACACGCTTCTCAAAATGACTTTTGATTGAACCCTCTATGTCATGTGGTTAAAAAGTAATAAGTTAAGAAATATGCTTCACAAAAAATTAAAATTAACTATGAGCCTTCCAGAACAAATAAGAGATAATAGCCGACTAAATATAGCTTGAGCACTAAGTTCACTTGCAAGCTTACTTTCAAGTCATAATATAAATTCATTTTAGATGTCAAGTATGTTTCCTTTGGAGAAAATTTCGTGAATTTTTTAATTTTTTTGAAGAAATTGAAATTTCACTTGAATACCCACCAACATTGACGATGCATTATTCTTTGACTTTCTCTTTTTTTTAATTGTATTAACCTACTTACCGCTTTTTTGAATTCTTCGATTCTAACAGTTCTTGATGGCTTACATATTTATCTATCGTTGACTGTCTCTCTTTATAATATTCGGCTTGTTTTTGCTTCCTAAAGCGCGATTACATCCTGAACGCAGCTTTTCACAAGATTATAATTCGTCATCAATGTTGTTTGCTATCTACGTGGAATTTAATTTCTTCAAAGAAAGAACGAGTTTAGCAAACATTATGAGTAAAGATGCGGTGTATTATCCATCTACCGTCAAATGCGAACTATTCTGTATGACCTGAATAAATACCACTATTTGCACAGTAGTCACTGTATTTGCATAGAAAAACAGATTTTGATTCATACCTATCTTGAGTTCTCATTTCACTTTCGGCTTCTAATTTTTTTATTCAATAAAAACAATTGATAAGAATATTTTCCAAGCGATTATCAACTTCACTAGATATGTATAAAACAAAAAACATAGAGACGAAGTCATTTATCCTAAGAACAACAAATAAAACTGCTTTATGATATTTAAAGTCAAAGTGATATATGAGAAAAATTGGTAATATAGTTTTCAATTTAAATTATTAGATTAAGAAAAGAATAAAATAAGCTGAAATACTGTATTTGCTTTTTCTACAAGTAAATAACAATCGATTACATTTTTTTAGAACTTTGACCTTCATTGCAATTCTAACATATCAGAAAGATATTAGCTCAAATAAATGGTATCACTTAAAGACATTCTCTGATATGATGTTTTATATTTGTCTCCAAGAAAAACAAATTAACAATTGATAAATTTGTGATCAATAAATAAATTAGGAAGACAACCATATTAATCAAACGTGTTAGTCCAAGGTTCTACTTTGATTACTTCGATTCAGTTTAATGTTAAAAGTAACACTATATTTTTGGAAAGATCATTCTTTGTTAGATTCGCCCTTCTGACTATGCAAAACGTTTCTGTAATCATGAAAAGATGCCTAATAAAATCCCGTAAAGATCTTTCTATTCTTCGCTCAAAGGTAACTGCAGTGAATTAGCAAACAGATAATGTCGAGTTACTTTAATATTAACCAGCATTTCAGCAGCTTTTTTCTATACAAAGATTTTTTCGCTTGTTCAATTATATAGTCAATATATAGATTATCTCTAATTTGATATGCTGCTGCTTTTTTGAGATGTTGTCAATGTCAAATGTGGTTTCTATCATTAATATTGATGATAAACTCTAGATTAAAACATTTCCCTACTGAACAGGATACCATTTAGGAATTAGAGATATGTGTATGTATTCTTATGGCAAAATAATATCTGATAATTTTAGACTTGAATTTTTTTTTGAAACGGTGTCTTCCTTTCGATACAATCTGAGTATTTTCGCTGTTCATTAAGAAGATATTCGCATGAAATGTTCGAGTAATATTTCCAAAAAACAAAGAATTTCTTTTTCTTAAATTTAAAATTCTAATTAAGAATTACTAAGCTAATTGAAAATCTTCTTTTAGAAATTTTCTTTGTCGTCAAGAATCTATAGCTTTTTCACACAGAAAAGACATAAACGGTAATTCAACAGGTAATTTATAGAAAAGTATTTTAATGATCAACCGATGACTATTTTTAGGAAACTATCTGGTATCAAATTTTATTTATCATACTACAGATGAATGAAAATTCTGTGAATAATCATGCTATTTCAGTTGAAATTGCACTTCTTGAACAACGTCTTCATGTGGACAATGAGCAACGTGAAAACTCAACGCAAAATCAATCTAATTCACCAAGATTTGCCAATGTTACTAACAATGCGAAGAATTCACCAATGATTCCCACATATTTGTATATTATTTTCTATTTTTCCTCAATCATCATAATGTATAGCATGTTTTTATTAGGGAATATTCGTGTTGGTCAGTTCCTCGATCATTAACATTTACAGGTGCATTTGGTATGTTCACAATTATAATAATGGCCATTGGTGTACTGATAGTTTGTTTCACTTCGCGAAAAAGTATTGGTATGTTCTTTTTTATCGATATATAAGTCATCACATCGAAGATCTCTAATTAGAAATTCAATAGAACATTTATGACCATTTTCGACTGAATAGATCGATAAAAGCCATAGATCACTCACTGTACGAAAAAGAGCAGAAATAATTACACACTTGCCATTCGAAAATTATCGATGAATATTCATTATCCTTACGATGAGATCACTGACATATATGCTAACTATTGCCGGTCGTTATATCCTGTATCATTGTTCACTTCTTCTTCGCCTAAACATTGCGTTGCTTATGCATAATTAGTCACCTAGTCGATTCACATATTTTCGTCTATTATAGCGTTACATCCTGCTTGTTATTGTAAACACCAGTTCAAAATACTGATTGAATCACCGACAGCATTACTCAGCACAACAGTTTTGATATTCATTTGATTCTGTAACGATGTGAAACTTTCGTTATTGTATAAGTGTTTTAACGAACCAAATGTCACAAGAAAACACTGTAAAACTCGTATATGATTACATGTGACTACATAGTTTCACACATCCCTACATTCCATACTCATGTCATGCTCATAGACGTTCTTCTTCGTTTTCAAAGACGGCATATCTTTCGAATGAATTCTATAGCAAATGACAGAGAGAAAACAGACAAGTGACTGTGCTGATGAATTCGTATATCGAAATCGATCTAAATTCTAAAAAACTGAACGGGTTTCTATTGAAACATGATGGTTTTGAGTTGTGTCTAAATAGAGTCATAAGACAACTTCTGACAACATATTATATGACTTGTAAGAATTCGAAAAGTGCTAACAGTGATAGTTACACTCGAGCAATCAGCCATTCATCACACTGCTTTTCATGTGCCATTTAGTTCCAAAGTGTGAGCTAAGGTTCGTATTAACGGTCAAAAATCCAATCGAATACAAATATGGTCCTCGATCTGTCGCCGTTGGGGATTTCGATAACGATACTTGGCTAGATATGGTTGTTGCCAATCATATCGCTAACAATATTGCTATATATCTTGGATCTAACAATGGCACTTTTTCAAGTCCAATCGAGTATCCAACAGGTACTGGATCAGCTCCGTACAAGGTCGCTGTTGGTGATTTCAACAATGATCATCGATTAGATATTGCAGTCGCAAATTTTGGTACTAATAACGTTGGTATATTTCTTGGATTTGGAAATGGATCTTTCGTTAACCAAGTAATATTTTCAATTGGCTCATCTCGTCCGATTTCGATTAACGTAGCTGACTTCAACAATGACACACTACTCGATATTGTCACTGCCAATTATGGAACAAATAGTATAAGCATACTCCATGGATATGGAGATGGAAATTTTTCGGGCCCAACTACATATTCCACAGGCTATGATTCTTTTCCATCCTCACTGATCACTGGAGATTTCAATAACGACAACCATTCAGATATTGCTGTTGCCAACTATGGTACGAACAATGTTGGTATACTTCTTGGCCGTGCCAACGGCACTTTTGCAAACCAAATAACTTTCTCAACTGGCTTTGGTTCTCATCCGTACTCAATCACTGCTGGCTATTTCAATGACGATGCCTTCCTCGATATTGCTATCGCTAATTATGGAATGGATAAAATAGGCGTACTTCTGAGCTATGGTAACGTAACTTTTGCAAATCAAGTCACTTATTCCACTGGTTCTGCTTCTCCATATATGATTGACGTTGGTGACTTCAATCAGGACAATCGCCTAGATTTAGTCGTCACTAATAACGGTACTAAGAATATTGCCGTACTTCTTGGTTGTACAAACGGTACTTTTGCCAATCCAATGATGTATTCAACTGGAGCTTCTTCTTTCACATCATTTGCCATAGGGGATTTCAACAAAGACAATCGTTTAGATATGATTGTCGTTAGTAATGACACTGGTGCCATTGATATCCTTCTTGGTTCGTATGAGGGATTTTCAAATCGAAAAACTTATTCAACTGGCTCTCTTCCACGATCCGTTGCTGTTGGTGATTTCAACAACGACAACCGAATAGATCTTGTTGTTGCCAATTGGGGTAGCGATGATCTTAGTATCCTTCTGGGATATGGCAATGGCTCTTTTACAAATCAAAGCAGGTATTCAATTGACACTGCTCCATACTCTGTAGCTGTTGGTGATTTCAACAACGACAACCGATTAGACATCGTTGTCGCTAATGGTGCTGCCAATGACGTCAGTGTCCTTCTTGGATATGGCAATGGCTCTTTTCAAAATCAGATCACTTATTTAACTGGTTCTATTCCAAGATCTCTAGCTGTTGGTGATTTTAACAATGACAATCGACTAGATATCGTTGTCGCCAATTATTTTAGCAATAATGTGAGTATCCTTCTTGGATATGGTAATGGCTCTTTTGCAAATCAAAGTACGTATTCAACTGGGCGTGGTCCACTGTCTGTCGCTGTTGGTGACTTCAATAACGACAACCGACTGGATATCGTTGTCGCCAACTATTTTAGCAATAATGTAAGTGTCCTTCTTGGATATGACGTTGGCTCTTTTGCAAATCAAATCACTTATTTAACTAACTCTGGTCCACAATATGTAGCTGTTGGTGATTTCAACAACGACAACCAACTGGATATTGTTGTCACCAATCGTGATGCCAATGATGTAAGTGTTCTTCTTGGATATGGTAATGGCTCTTTTGCAAATGGAATCAGGTTTTCAACCAGCTCTGCACCGTGGTCCCTAGCTATTGGTGATTTTAACAACGACACCCGACTGGATATCGTATTCGCCAATAGTAATAGTCATGATGTGGGCGTGCTTCTTGGATATGGCAATGGGTCTTTTGCAAATCAAATCACGTATTCAACTAGTTCTTATCTATATTCTGTAGTCGTTGGTGATTTCAACAATGACACCCGACTGGATATCGTTGCCATCAATGTAGATCGCGACAATGTCGATATACTACTCCAATATAACAGAGGATTTCTTAAAAATGAAATGACCTACGCATCTGGTGGTGGTTCTAAACTACGATATGTTACTGTTGGTGATGTGAACAACGACACTCAACTAGATATTATCGTTGCTAACTATGGCACTAATGATGTAGGTATTCTTTTTGGATATGGAAATGGTACTTTTCTAGATCAAATGATGCTCAGTACTGGCTCAAATTCTCATCCATCCGCTATTGCCATTGGTGATTTCGATGGTGACACTGAACTGGATGTCGCTGTGACCAATTATGGTACTAAGAGTGCAAATATTTTGTTTGGAAATGGAAAGGGAATGTTTACAAATCAAGCAAGTTATGAAATTGGTTTTGTTTCTACTCCGTTCGTCATCGCTTCTGGTGATTTCAATAATGATAGACGATCGGAAACTGTTGTCGCTTACGATGATAGTGATAATCTGGATATTCTTATTGCATACAACAATGTGTCTTTTGCAAATCAAAATACGTATTTATCTGACCAATGGCCACTGTCTGTAACTGTTGGTGATTTCAATAATGACAACCGACTGGATATCATTGTCGCCTACGAGTATAACTATGATATGAGTACGCTTCTTGGATATGGTAATGGCTCTTTCTCAAATGAGATCAGATATTCAACTACTTCTTATCCATGGTTTGTAGCCATTGGTGATTTCAACAACGACAATCGACTGGATATCGTCGTTGCTCATTTTTATACCAATAATGTAAGTGTCCTTCTTGGCTATGGTAATGGTTCTTTTTCAAATCACATGACCTATCCAGCTGGCTCTCATCCATTCTCTGTAGCTGTTGGTGATTTTAATAACGATAATCAACTAGATATCGTTGTCGCCAATGGTGACATAAATGATGTGAGTGTCCTTCTTGGATATGGTAACGGGTCTTTTGCAAATCAAATCATGTATTCAACTGGCTCTAGTTTTGGATATGTAGCTGTTGGTGATTTTAACAACGACAATCGACTTGATATCGTAGTCGCCTATGGTAATACCGATAATGTGAATGTCCTTCTTGGATATGGTAATGGCTCTTTTTCAAATCAGATCAGACATGCAACTAGCTCTTTTCCACGAGCCGTAGCTGTTGGCGATTTCAACAACGACACTAGACTAGATATCGTTGTTGCCAATACTATTAGTCATGATGTGAGCGTGTTTCTTGGATATGGTAATGGCTCTTTTGCAAATCAGGTCAGGTATTCAACTAATTCTTATCTATACTCTATAGCCGTTGGCGATTTCAACAAAGACAGCATACTGGACATTGTCGTCACTAATCAAGATACTGCAAGTGTGGGGCTGTTTCTTGGATATGGCAATGGTTCTTTTGCAAATCAAAGCACGTATTCCACTGATGTTTATCCAGGATCTGCAGCTATTGGTGATTTCAACAACGACGCTCGACTGGATATTGTTGTGAACCATGGGAATACCCAACGTGTCAGTGTTCTTCTGGGACATATTATTATAGGTTTTGTAAGCCAAGCCACACTCACGACTGGCAGTGGTTCCCGACCGCGATCATTTGCCATTAGTGATTTTAACAATGATGATCGAATCGATATCGCTGTTGCCAATTCAGGTTCTGACACTATCGGAATTTTTCTTGGATATGGCAATATCTCTTTTGCAAATCAAGTACCATATTCAACTGGCTCGAATTCATCGCCATACTCCATGGCTATTGGCGATTTCAATAACGATACTTGGCTGGATATTGTCGTTGCCAATTATGGTTCTGAAAACGTAGGTATTTTTCTCGGATATGGCAATGGCTCTTTTACAAAGCAAACGGCATATTCAACGGGCTCTGGTTCGTATCCTTCTTCTGTTGCTGTGGGTGATTTTAACAACGATACCATGCTAGACATTGCTGTCGTTAATCAAGGGACTAATAGTGTGAGTGTTTTCCATGGATATGGCAATGGCACCTTCACAAGCCCGATTCGATTTTCCATGAGTTATGGATCTCGTCCATTCTCCATCGTCGTTGGCGATTTCAACCATGACACAAAACTGGATTTAGCTGTGGCAAATGATGGCACGGACAGTCTATATATTCTCTTACAAAATTGTTAATATGGTATCTCGTACATTATTTTTTTATTTTTTTTCCTTGATTCATATTATCCAATAAAGTAAAATTATTCTTTAAAAAATATTCAAATATTTATTGAGGAGGAAATATCAATCATGATGGAGTCGCTGCAAAGGAGCATAAAAAATTTTCTTTTTGGATGATTCACAATACTTAATTTTCTGTGAGAGATTCCTTCAGCATTTTAATAACGGCCTATGGCGGTCTGTAAATCCTTCATTACAGAAAAGTTTGCCAAAAAAGTAATTATCAACTGACTGCAGTTCATTCATATCGAAAATAAATTCAACAAAGATAAGAAGCTTTTCTGAATATGAGAGTGTGAGTTCAATATATACGTATATTTCTGAGACACACGAAAATAATCTTTCATTTTATTCATCCACAATTATAGTATGTACAAAGTTTTCATTAAATATCCACATTAATACAGTTCAAATAGTATGAATAACTATTCGAATGAGGGTCACAAAAGTAGAGCAGAATTTGAACCTAGAACTTTGAATAATCGATTGGTTGTTTTACCAATTACACTAAAGGGCTTTTTCATAGAATCCACCAACCGTATTGAAATGTCGGGATATTTTAAATTGATGTCTCGAATTTTATGAAAAACTCATGGAAACTTATGTTTAATCGAATGACGTTATATCTTCAGGCTAGTGAGGCAATGTCCCAGATGATTAAAAGATTTTCAGCTCATATTATTCCCAGTTGTGCAAGATCGATAGACTAGAATACTTTTCATAGGCTTCGTGGTGACATTAATATTTGGCTCGGATATTGACTTTTTAGTGGAGTTTTCGTGTATGGATCTAATTTTTCGATTAAATCCCAGTGTCGAATTTTGGCCTGAAAACTTTTCCCAAAGGAAGATCTTACTGAGACTAGCTCATGCACGCCCAGTTCAAACAAGCACGGTCGTAAACGAAAGTATACGGAGAAATACGGTGATTTAGATGGTTCAGTATTACGATCGTATACTGAACCATAAAAACCGTCAAAATACGGTCGTTTACAGGCGTATACGAACTAGGCTGTGGGTGTGAGTGAAGAGAAGACGTAAGCCCATATTCGGACTCGGGCCCACACCTAACCTAATGAGACAACATAAAGTTTCTTTTTTTTCTAAATTTATATTCAGTTTGTTTTTGTTTATTATTAAATATATTACGTTGTTGCAAGGCTCATCAGATTTCGAAAGAAGTTTGTTAATGAAAACTAGTGTCCTTTACATTTCCTATATAATTTTAGAAAATCCTATGTAAATGGTATCTCTGAATTCTTATGTATTCCCATTGAATGATGCTATCCAGCCAGAAAGAAACGTGAGAACAAGAAAAAATCGATCAAGTTTGTAAGACTATATTGATTTTTCGAAATTGTTTCAGTTCAAGATGATTCGGTTTATGAATTTATTTTAAAAAAGGACTTTTGATACCAGCAAGATAAATTATACTTCCACATATGATGCTCAATGATTGGATGAACCATGGGAAAAGATTCGTCGGAAAACTTCGATGGGTAAAGCAAACATTTTATTGTATGATTTTGTGAACGACTCAGTGAAAACTACCGAAATGCTACAAATCATTTTAATTAAAAGCGTTGTGTGTCCGCTATTGGCCTTACACGAGTGGTATTGTTAAGTAACTGATGTTGTACTCGACGCAATTTCTCAGAAATAATTTTTCGAAGATTAGGTGTTATCCAGAATAGAATGCCGAGCATCAAGAGTACTGATGCAGCCAAAAGGAGAAATAAAACATGAAAAATATGAAGAGGCAGAATTTCGATACGTATCGCAGCAACTATCATAACAATAAGTGCCGGGAAGGCGAGAAAAAATAATTGAGAATTAAGCAATGTGATACGACGAGCCATTGCCAAGTCTCGGTGCATCTTTTGTTTTTGAGCGCCATTAGCTCTTGTGGAAGCTTCATGTACATACTTTACTAAGTTCCGATAGAGCAAACACATAATAGTATCTGATAAAAAAAATGTTACTGCACCGAGGAACAAGAAGAGTTCAGGTCTTGATAGTGAGATCAAACATGCATTTTCGACAGGAATCTTCGTTATATTGCCTGTTAAAAATACAGGCAAAATAAAAGTAAAATCAAATATCCACTGACCCAGTACTAGACATATTTTGCTAGTTGGACCATCAAGAATTCCAATCCTCTTAATACTACAATACTTTTGCACTGCATGTAGAACAAGTGAATGATGGATGCAAGCAATTCCACAATGATGAAAATAAGCACGTAATGGACAAAGTGAGTGAACGTCTGGCACTAGTTGTTCGTCCCAAAGAAACATGTAGATAGCGACTCCCAGATTGGCACCAGCAAATACCAATGCGCTTATAGCAGTGTTACAAGCTAATAATGTTGCAAAATCGAAATATCGACGACGGTGGACAAGTGCAATCGCAAGAAACACCAAAGCCAAAAGACAAGTCAAACAGCAGACGCATATGTACATCAAGCTGATGATAGCAGGAAAATCCATCTCTTTATCAACCGAGAATTTCTTCAGGCGTCATGTTCAAATATCGGAAATATCCTTTTATCTGATGCTAATAATAAAATAGTTTAAATGAAATCATATAAGAAAAAGCACTAATTTTACTTATCAATTGAAACATTATTTTCGGAATCAACTTGAACTAATAAAAAAAGGAATCATTGAGATTGCTATTGTTCGTGTACTTTCGTTTAATCTATATCACATAAAGGATCTCTCCTATTCACTACATGACCAGCACATTTTATAAGTACTGTTAAAGGTTTTTATGCTTTCATATTGATGACGAATGTATTTCATATTGTAAAAATAGAAGTAGATCAATAACAGCAATAATTTAACAGAAAACTAGTTGAATAGGGAATATCTCCGCATATTTCTATCCTTTGAACTCTGTTTATGCACATTATTACAAGCATGAATTGTAGCTATGCTATCTAATCACAGTTTCTCTTAGTAAATATAGTCATTGAATGATATTGTGGGAAAAAAGTCATATGAGGAATGCTAACGCATATTTCTTGAAGATTTTTGAATTCCTAAATTAATTTTTTAAATGGTAGGAGGATCGAAATATTATGAAAAATAATTAAAGTACATTGTCAAATATTTGTTTATATTTTAACACTTCGAGAGAAGAGAGATAGAATGTATGAATGTGTAGCTCATATAAGACATGCATGTTTGCATATAAATAAGTATTTCATGATAATTGATAATTTTTACAGCATTTTCTTACTATTTCTGAGAGTTTGCAGCTTCTCTTTATTTACTGAGCATGATTTAGGTATTTTAAAAATAGTATTTATATACATGCTTCGTTGATTTGAGTATATGTCTATTTGATTATTAATGGAAAAAAAATAGAAAAAGAAACAAGTGAAAACGCACATTCGAAAAAAATTGAAGTGCTCAAAAACATTTTTATAATCAAAAACACGTTAATGCTGAATGTATTTCACATCGAGGGTAACGGTTTCCCAATAGAAACGTTTTAGTGTGTTCAAGAATAGTACATTCCTGTAGTTAGAAAACGTATATTTCAAGAACAAATCAAAACACTTAAAGAAGAACGCAGTCATTTCAGAATGCGTTTCTTTTGTATGGACAGAACACATTCATGATTAGATACAATTCATTTCTTAGTATGCATTACAACTCATGTAAAAAAACACGAGGTCCATCAAGAAATTTGCATGTTCTGATATGAGAATATGTGTTATTCGATTATATCCCACAAAAAGATAATCTCTNATTTTTATCGTATATACTTCAGCATTCCTTTTAGATTGTATTTTACAAAATTGTCAAAGTTTGTCAGTATATAGAACGGACACTTCTCTACAAAATATGATATTGAACTAAGCCGTAGCTTTTACTGAAGCATTTTTTAAGTGCTCCGTTCAACATAAACCGGTTGTCGATTTTTCAACAATGAATATTTATGAAAAACGAAATTTATAAATAGAAAAACCCAAGTTTTAGTATCGGATAGCAGTAGTAAAATTGCAACAATTTTCACAACTTTCGGACAAAATTCCTAAGTGCACATATGGAAACAGCACAAATTTCTGGTCCTAACTGGTCGAAAATATTATAAAAATGATCTTACAATACGCTTAAAAAATTGAAAATGTTGCCTTCGAAAGCTAGTAGAGTAGTAGACGTAAAAGGTAACTTTAATAAAAACAATTTGTTATAATTGGAAAGATTTTTATTTAAATTAAATACAGTCATAAATTATTTTAATTCCCATTGTAGATATATTCTATCTGTTGAACGTGTAATTTTATAATCATGAATAAGTTTTTCTTGGTTAATCATATTTTCTAATTGTTTTATCATAATATCATTTGCTATCCTAACACATAAACAGAATAAATTGAAATTAAGAAATTCATCTATTGTCTGTAGTAAGATATATCGTACAATTGATTCAATATTGAAATTACTCTCACATTTCACTTGTAAATATTCGATTTGAGGAGCAAGATTAATAAAAAATTGAATTTTTTTAAAATCATTTTCGTCAATAAAACTTTCAACTATTAATTTTTTAATTTGATTAGTTTTTGACCATAATACAATAGATTCTATTTGTTGTTGAGATAAAAAATTTACTTCGAAAGAAGACACAGATAAAATTCCCAATGAATTAAGATTCGGTAACATGTATAAAAGTTGAATAAATTTAGTATAAGACAATTTCTTACAATCAACATCCAGACGAGTAATATGAATATTTTTAAAAAGATTTAAAGTTGTATCAATTAAATCTTGTCGAGATGGAGCAAAATACAGATGAATAAGTTTTAATTCTATAGGAACAGTTTTTTCATACACGGAATAGTATTTTCGCCTTAAAAGAAACAAAAGAAAACATTTATACGAAAAACTTCTTTGCTTAACATACATATCTGTACAAATGGAATAGCTTATTCTAATGGGTGGCCAATAATCTATATCAGCTGTTATTTGAAAGAACCATCCACGATTAATCCAAAATGATGAAATAAATTGATTAAGTTGACAATGATATGACATTAATTCAATAGGTTCATAATGAAATTCGCAATTTTCTAATTTGAATATACGTAAATATGGCATATGTTTCGAAATTAATTGTTCCCATCGTGTAGCATTCAGATAATCAGCATCTTGAGTTTTATTAATACATAAAATTCGAAGCTGTTTACATATTTTTTTAATAAAAATTTCAAATTCATTGAATTGTAAGTAACACGTATTTAATGTCATACTAGTTAAATTCAGTGTCATTATTGATTGTATACTTTGAATTTCTTGATGTCGGTTGGATAATTCAAGACAAGTCAAATGAGTAAGTAGAGGTGTATATGAAACTAAAACAATGAGTTCCTTGAGATGACAAACATGTTTGATGATCAAATGTTTAATGTAACTGTAATGTTCATATGTATTAATTGGTAATGATATGAGCAATGAATTTCTTTTTGATGAAAGTTCGATTTTTTTCAAAAATGGTAGAAGAAATGTAAGACGATATATTTCAGTAAGATCTATTGTATTATCAATAAGATTAATAGTTATTGAAAGAAGACGAGGTAGAGATGTCAAAATAGGAAAAATTGAAATCAATTCTCTACATTGAACTTGATCGAGAATAAGTGATTGAACACGACTAAATGATGAATCGATGTTATGTGATGATACATGATTAATAATATCCAAATGATCATGTAAATAAAGAGAAACTATTCGGTGTTTATTTGGAATAATAAATTGTGTGTAGTATTGTTGAACTGCAGATTCTGGTTGATGACCAACATTAAGTTTTAATCGAAGAAATGAATGATTGAGAAGATTTTGAAATCGATTGTTCAAATTTAAAAATGCATTACATAATTCATTATACTCAATATAGTCAAAAATTTCGAAAAAAATCTCATTAGATAAATCTTCAAAGTGTGTAAAGGACATTCTAGTAAATGTCAATAAATCAAAATATTATTCAAATAGATATTTTAATTTATGTTTTCTAATCTAGAACTAGTATTTAAAGATAGAGAAAAATATCGACAATTAATTTTGATGTTTATTATATCATATAAAAATCTCTTGAAATATGAATAAAATTACTGTATTTCAATATGCTAAATAATTGAAATACGCAAACGAGACACAGTATCACATAATTATCTCGCTTTTTATTTATCTAATGATGCAATAACTATTACATCATTATATTCATTTTCTCTTTCGTCGATTCATTTTTCTTTCTAATGACCATAGTTCTCAGATCTTCCTTCTATACGAGCTTGCATTTTGTATGTAATGGATATAAATAAAATAATAGAATAATTTCATTAAGAATTACCTGTAAAGTAGATACATTCTGATTAATGAACTTACAAATGGTTTTGAAAAACGTCTATGCACTGAGACACATTTGTTCTTTGTAAGCTGTCCTTGTATTTGCATATCAAGGTAAAAGCAAACAGAGCAATAGAAATAAAGATGGTAACCATGTATGGATGAATGCATTCATTTAAAAAAATGCGAAATGATTCATCCAACGTTATGTTTGACTACCGAATGAAAATTTTCGTCAGTACTGTCCCTGAAGGGCTAAAACGTAGGAGTTATATGTTTTCTTTAGTCTCGTTAGATTAATACAAAATAAATAAAGTGAAATATAATTATTTTTCAAAAGATGATCGGTCACCAGAAAAAACGATCTATTTTATTCTGTTCTATGTTTAGAACAAAAAATTCTTTTTTTTTTACTTTCTTTTTATTGATGCTCTACTATTTTGCTTGTCTTATCATTTCTAACCAGTCATCTAACATGTAAATAAGCCTGTTGTACATATCCATTATATCTACAACAAGTCTCAATGTACTATTATAGATCTCGATAAACTCAGAAATACTAATATTAATTATTTTCCAAAAGTTATAACTTGATCAGTTCACACCATTTTTATGTTAATCAGATGACGACTATGGCAAATCAATGCATCACTATTCATCATCCTTAATGTGTTGAATATAATTTTCTTTCAGCACAGAGATCAATAACTATACTATTAAGAATGTTCTAGAACAGTCTAACAACAGAATCCATTCGACTGATAATCAATGTTTGAGCTCATAGGCAGGACTCATAGTATGGATAAAAATCTTAAAAGGATTCGTACCATTAGACCTTTTTTCTTGAATTGTGGTCATTTTAGAGAAATATCAACTGATTGCAGGATATTACAAGAAATATTGCAACAAGAAGTTTCGACTTAAAATTCTTTCCAAAAAGTAGTTCTCATAGTCTTTATGATAATCTAAAAGTTTCAGTTCAAGCGGGTTTCTACTTAAAATATCGTATGCCTAAAAACTGAACTAATGCCTGTCCAAAAATTTCACCATTATGTAGGCATATGAGTACTTTATATATTCGCTAAGACATGCTGAGAATCCTTGCAAATTCAGAGTTTCATCACTGCCAATCTTTCAAAAAACACCTAGCAGTTTTTTTAAAGCTTCACAGAGACCTATATATCTGAAGTATGCAAAAGATAGCCCAAATGCTCCTCTACAAAATGACACAAGGCCTACCTCTCTAGTTTTTGTTGTTCTCAANAAAATTTCAATGATTTGCTGAAACGGAAGCCAGTACATCTTTTATAGAATATTTTTTCTTATTTTTTTACAAAAAGCCTCGATAGTGCCAAAAGTTGATATTGATTAACTTTTCATAGGAAGGGTATTAGAACATAAAATTTTAGGGTTAGTAGTTTTAGACATTGAAGTTTCGAATGAGCAAAAAAAATCGAAAAAAAAATTTTTATCGAGTGCCTCGTATCCTCGATGCTGTCGTGGACCCTCTCTTAATTTTGAAAATACTGAGTTTTCTTATCTTTTCTTGTGATATATATCTCAAGAAGAACGTATCTCTTTAGGACTGAAATTTTTAGAACACTCTAAAGCCCACAAGACCTATTGATAAGCAAAATTTTAGTGTGAAATTTTCTAATTCAGTTGTTCCATAAATATTTTGCTAGAGATAAAAAACTAAGTAAAATTATAATAACATGGTCAAAATAGTGCATGAGAACGAACCGTTATAGGCTTTTATACTCTCTTCGGGGCTTACTTGTGGACATAATATCAGCTCAATCGGCGACATTCTACCATTACTGTCATTCCATCTAGAAGCTATCTACTGAAAGAAAGAAGGATAGAAAAAAACATTGTGCAAGAGAACTGGAAATAACAGTGAATAATAAAGTAAATTAGTTCGCCTCCTTCTAAAGCAGACATATTTTTTTTTTCAAAATAAAATTTACTTTTCATGTTTGCAGTCTCCTTGTCAATATGCCACTTGTATTCTACACTTGTTTTTTTAATAAGTGTTTTATTATTTTGTAGTAGGATACTTTCAAAATAAGCATACTCAATTTACTTCATAATTTTTCATGTAGTATATGGTAATTTCATATTTAAGTAGAGGAAGTATTCAATTATACGTTTTACATGAAAAAAATGATTGATAACCGATACGTTCTATATCGAGCACAATTAGTCAGACGTGTCATATCACTTAGGTTTATTATATTTAAAAAAAAAACAAGATTTCAAACTAGATTATATCATCAACGTTGAATTGTCTTTTTTTAGTATTTTTGATAAAATGGGTATTAATCGACAGATTCGTTTAGTTTTATGGAAGAATTTTACTATTCGACGTCGACGATGGGTATATTAAAAATTCAATAAGAAAAATAGAATCCGAGCCTAATCTTTGTTTTGTTTTACATATAGCCTCGTGCAATATTCGAATTAATATGGCCTTTATTTTTATTTCTTATTCTTATGTGGGTACGAACAAGAAATTTAACATTGTACTATGATGCTTGTAAGTTTGTTCGGATTGTTTTCTCAAATAATATTCTTTTAAATGGATTTATTTAGGTTATAATGATCCAAAATATCTTGGATCAACAGGATTTTTACCTGCATTACAAAGTTATATTTGTCGATATAATAATACATGTTATAATCAATCAAAAACAACCGATGAATTCAATGATGAAACATCGTTTGTTTTGTTTTTCTTCTTTTTTTAAATAGATCTTATAAATTTCTTTTTTCTTTACAAGATTTTGGAATCTAATGTTAAATTTAAGCAAAAGTCTTTCGATTATTTTAAATGATGATGAAGTATCTAATGACTTACGAGAACTTTTTTCTCAAATAAAATCATTAAATATTTTAACGAATATTTGGAATGGTAAGAAATACATATTTGAATGCAATCAAATATTGATTGATTTCTTATATTTAAAACAAATAATAATAAAGGTTCTATTTGGGCAAATAAAAGTACGAATGATTTTAATCAATCAATACCAACAATAATAATTACAGAACTCTTTGTCAATCCAATTAATTTATCAAATCTTCATCAATACTGGTTTATAAATGAAACTCAAAATTCATTATCAAATTTAGAAATAGCATTAGAAATTTATTTTACATCTATACGACGAAATTTTTCTTATGTAAATCAGAAAAAAAAAAGAACTGAATAGATTTTTAAATTAATTTTCATTTTCTTTTAGTCATATCAATCGGAAATAGATATTCAACAATCATTTTGTATTGATGGAGAGTTTAATAGAACATTTTCAATTAATCAAATACAAATAAATGAAACAATAAATTTTTTATGTTATAATTTATCAGCAATTGATTTAAAATCATTTTTAATTAATGTACAACAACAACTTGATAATATATTTCTGGTAATAAAAAAAAAGATTTTAATTAATTGTTTTTTTTATTTAATTAAATTTTATTTAGGCTGTTGTGGCACCGCTTATGAAAACTTTTTTTGATGATCGATCCAAGGTGATTTGTTTTTATTCATTGCATTCTTAAAAAGAAATTAATATATTTTAGATTACTGAAACAGCACTAAAACTTCGTGATCGTTTGGAAATACTTAATGTCAGCTTTCCATTTGGAGGAAGCAATAGTAATATCAGGTAAGATTTTCAAAATATAAATGTTTTTTTTATTATTTAAAATTAGTTTTGTATTCTAATATAAAAGAAACAAGAGTCGAGTACGATATAACACTGAGACAGTATTATCTATAGTTTAATCTATACGAGAAATGTTCTTGTAAAGCTTTTCTCACTTAAACATAAATATGTATTTCAGACTGTTACAAAGCTTTATTAACAACTACTGGATGTTTTTAACACTGTAATCTAGGATCTTAGTTCATTGATTTTGTATTTCTAATTACATCTAATTAGACGATTACATATAAGACAAAAAAATCTAATTTTTATAGAGACACGTTCAAGGTATTAGATTCTTTGTTGTTTCTCTTTCAAATCAATTAAATCAGAAGGAAGCATTAAAGGGTACATTATGATCCAAATTAAGATAAATGCATAGAATGATAGCTTGAAGTTGAATTTTTCATCAGCAATAAGATTTTTTCTTTAGCACCTCATTTTTGGCCAAAAACTTTCAATGATTTCCGTTATCTCCTGCGTGAAAACTTTGTGCCTTTTTAGAAAAATGAGAAATCTTTTATTCGTTTTTTCTCAGATCATGTTCTTCTGATTATGTATCGTAGAATTCTCGAAAAAATTTCCTTGTAGCTGATTGCTCTATTTTTGTTTGAAAGAACATGTTAAGATACATTACCTGACAAAGTCAGTTTTTTTTTGCAACTAAGCTTTTTTTATTATTATGTAAAAATATACTTTCATAAAATAGATGCCAATTTGTATTTTGAGAGTTCTTCAAATTATTGACTTGTCACTTTTTTTTTTCTACGAATTAAAATTACATTCATAAAATGATGACTTACAGAGAATTTCGACTTGTCACAATGATCTATTGCCGATCCTTGTTTAGTGAATATCTTCCAGAAACATCATGGTATAGTGCTGAAAACTTTAGCATAGTCTCTTCATGACAGCCCTAACATATTCTAAAAATTTCATGTGATTTAAATTGATTTTTCTAGATGATAAGGTTTCACAACATTTGCAAAATACAGACATGGTGCTTCCTTTCATGGTGTAGAATTAATATTATCATAGAATAGTTTATTGATTATTTACATTATTGGAGTTTATTTCGAGATAGAGGAGATCCTATACAATGGCGACTGTTTATAAATCTACTTGGAACTTCTTTCGATTATAATAATATGCAAAAAAAAAGTTTTCTTCTGTAAATCAAGAGTTAATAAGCACATTACTATTATCTATAGTACTTATTGTCAATAAGAAAATCGTCGAAATGATTTCTCATAATTAAGTTTGCATTCTGATCGTATAGAGAAAACATCTTGACTAAAATTATTTTTCTGAATAAGTTCCATTAGTATAGACATATGTAAAACTGTTGGCTCTTCCAGCTAACGATTGATTAAAAATTAATTACTAAATATCTCGCTAACCATATAAGAAAAAAAGAATCCGAACATTTCAGAATAGACTATATGCGACCGTCCAAATCTATAGTGAAGTTTTCAGCAAGATCAATTTCCGACTGAGAATCTGAAGAAGGATTTGTACAGTTTGAAATTTATTTTAAACTTTTCATGCAGTTATACGAGCATTTTTGTTTGTTTGTATATTCTCACTTCGTCACATCGCTAACGAAAAATCGAAGGAAAAATCACAGGCTTCAAGCACAAAGACTTCAACATATACTAAAAGCTGTTAGTACAATTCCTGGGAAATTAAAATGTGAAACACGATGTAATTGCTGTTGCTAATCACAGGAACATTATTTTATTCTATCGAGTTTTTGAGACACATTTCTTCATCAGCTTTTTACCTTGTCTTCCGAAAATACAATAAGGAAGTAATTCATATAAGATAACGAGATGTTATTGATATACGATCTTTGATCATATCTGAACAACGTGGGTCACGTCTATAGAGACAGAGCTAATCTTTATCCTATGCTTCAAAATTCAAGTCCCTATTGTTTCCCCGTCAAAAAAAAATAAATTGTGCTGTTTTTTGAAAAGCATAGGCATTCCCAGAAAAAACTCTGAATAGAAATTTTGTAGCCTCAGAAATTGTCTAAACTATAATACATGAAATGAAAGTCAATGTTTCACTTCGAACAGTTGTTTCGATTTGTAGTATCAAATATTGTTCTTTTTAATTCTACTAAATTTTCTTTTTTTTTATAATATTTAAGCTTTAGTTTAAATTCAATATGTGGTGGTCGTAATGATCTATCACAATATTCAAATCAAAATCAATCTGCAAAAACTAATAATAAACAAACTCGAAATGCTCAAACACGTGCAGCAACTAATGAATTTTTATTTGGTATTGATTGGAATAGTTTAGCAATAGACTTACTTTCATATGATGAATCTGAAATGTGTGAACAATCATATATAACTGGTTCTAGTGATATAATGCAAATTACAACAGTTAATCGTTCATGTCGTTGTGTTTTATTTGATCAAGTATTCAATTCAAATTCTGTATTAAAACAACTCTTAAGACTTGTACGTCCTATTCTATATGGAAAAATATATTATCATCCATCAAATATTCATTATGATAATATAATAAAACAAATTAATCAAACATTTGAATCATTAGATGAACTTGTTCGATTATTTCGTCAAATGAGATTAATATTTCAACCAAGATATAACATATCTGAAACAATTTGTAATATATTTTCTAATTCATCATTTATTTGTCAACAATTATTAATATATAATTCATCAATAAATTATTTCACTATTTTAACAGAATTTATTGCTTGTACAGAACTTAATCGTTTTATAGCAATGAATAGTGAATTAGAAATGATACGTGAAGGACAAAATAAAGCTCTAATAAATAATTTTTTAGCTGCTATTAAATTTATGAATGATATAACAAATAATGATAGTTTACCAAAACATATTCAATTTAAAATACGAATGACACTTGATCGAATTGATAATACATTTCGAACTGAAGATCGGTAAAATAAATAAAACACAATCTTAGAAATTTTCATTCATATCTTCTTTTTTTGCATAGATATTTTTCATATGCACCTCGTGTTAGTGTACCATCGTCAACAAAATATCATTCATATGCATTTATTTATTTACAAAATGCTATTGAACGTGCTATAATTAATATACATACAGGAAGAACTGTACCATATGGTGTACAAACTCAACAAATGCCTTATCCATGTTGGATTAATGATAAGTAAATAGATATTATTTTTTGCTGCATTTCTTTTGAATTAATAAAAAAATGGTTTATTTATTTTAGATTTGTTAATTCCATTAGTCGAATGTTACCATTATTAATGGTTTTAAGTTGGATATTTACAGTATCAATGAATGTTAAAGATATTGTACATGAAAAAGAAAAGTAAGATAAAGTAGTAAAGAATATTATAAATTTTATTTTTTTTTTATTTTAAAGACGATTAAAAGAAATAATGAAAATTATGGGTTTAAAAGATTCTGTTCATTGGTTTACATGGTTTGTTTTATGTACAACTGTTATGATATTAACAGCATTTATACTTGTTCTACTATTAAAGGTTAGTGTATGAATACAGCCGATATAGAAATTTAGTAGACTTTGGAATAACTAATTCAAGATCAAGATATTAATATCATGATAAATTATAGGTCAGATACTAAAAAACACTGATCTATCCACCAACGTAACAACAAAAGAGTCATTGTTTATTTTGTTACTGAGTAACAAGACATTTTCACTATAGATTACTATTGTTTAAATGATTAGAATATTGGTCAATGACTAAAGCAAAGCGGCGAGTGACCACGTGCCGATTAATTATCTGCATGATACACTTCTCTAGTTTATCTCTAATAATAGATAAATAGCTTCATGCTGAGCTTTACTAGTTTTCAAGGAATCTTTAACTATTGAAAACATGGTAGTCATTACTTTCATTCAATTACAGATAGAAGTCAACTCTTTTCAAATTCTCTAATTATTACTGTCATTTTTCAACGAAACGTTGTATGTTGGTGCTATTCAGCAAGTTTTAGATAGCATTAACGGCTAAAGAATTCCTACTAGCAATAAACAATCGTCTTCTTTTGCCTTGTAGTACTCAGTCATTACAACATTTCATTTATTCGTCATCTGAAACGTAGTAATATTTGACTTTTATACATGAAAAAACTAATAGTTGTTCATTCGCGTCAGTGTTCATACATGTCGTTGCATTTCTCAATGTCCTCATCAAGGGCGAGTTTTGATACAAACCAACGCTCATTACTTTCATGATGCGTTTCACGAAATATACAGTCATTCCTGCAGTAGATATGATTAAAAATTTGTATTTTATCATGACTATCAATGAAAATACTGTTACACGAAAAGGAGATATAAGAAACAAGGAATCGGTTATATATTATGCTAATTGAATTCGCATAGTTGTCTCATCCAGTCGTAGAAAACCGGCACGTACAAGTTCTTTAATAGCCACAATGACTGATACATCTTGTTTTGATATAGCATAGTCAGCTGCTACTTTTGCTATAAAAGCTAGAATAGCAACTGCCGGATTAAAATAGCCAATAACACCACATGCAGCCATGGTTCCCATTAGACCACCTCCACTAATACCACTACATTGTCGAAATTCACATATTGCTATTCGTCGTACACCTGTGTTTGTTCGTCCATGTGCAAGTATGACATGTGCATATTTATCACTTTGATTATCTTCGATTGTAATTTCTAAATACGGACCGTCACCTAATTCCATTGATTGTAATGCTTCTTGTACTTTTGGATAATCCGATTTTCTTCGAATTAAATTTTGAATCTGTTCATGTGATGCTTCCGGAATGGCAATTAAATTCGTTTCCCATTTAATATCGAACGTTGAAATATGACGATAAACATCCATGAATGCTTGTAGACGTTGAGATGCTGGTGAAGCTAGAAGATTTATTTCATGTAGAGGTAGACGTTGATCAATTGAGTTTGATGACGAGCATGAAACGACATTGCGGTCAGAGCTTGACATTTTTTCTGCTGAAATGAATGTAAATCGAAAAGAGAAATAAATGCGAAAGGAAAATGTTTTAAACTGAGTTGATATAATACTATGATTCTTCTTTTATATATATATACTTGGCACAAGAAAAATGATGAAACATGTAAGTTAATATTTTCCAAGTATAAGAATGAAAAAGAAAATGTTTTTTATTACTCACTCAGACGTTGCACTCGTTGGCATTTAAAAACACTTTCTGCGACCTTTACCATTGTTTCTCTGGGAAAAAACCCAGTTCTTGATTTTGTGCGCAAAACGCATCCATCTGTTTAAGATTCAAATAAATTAGTCACAGCTAGATGCGTAAATATAAGATTTGTTAGAGATGTTATTAAAGAATAAATGTTTTTTTTTTGAAAAAATAATTCAACACATCAGAGAGACAGAAAAAAAATACTGGTGGTGTATTGTCAGAGAATTAAAAGACTTTTTCTTTCAATTCACAACCGATACACATGCCATCAGTGGCATCTGTACCAGAGATGGGATCGATTCGTGTTTCTTTGGAGCCGATCTAATTTTTGAAATAGTTCTAATCGAATCGAATCAAAATTTATTTTGAACTAACAAATGTTCAAAGTGTTTGAAAAGACATAGTTATTGTATAAATGCATGTAATGCCACTATTGATCAATGTTCATCTGAAACATTCTTCTGTTTTAAAGAGACAGAATACATGTTAGAAAGTTTTTATTTTTAAAAACTAAGCTCTCCAACCTTGGAAATGGACAATAACAACACTTTTGGTTACGACACAAAAACAGACTTTTTTTTATACCAAAAATAATATGCAGTAGTTTTATCGATACTTCTAGAAACTCTCATTTTCATTTGGTTCACATCATTCATATCTTTTATTATGACTTTATAAACATTTGCTCTGAGAAACTTACAAAAAGAAAGTAAAGATCTAGTTTTAACGATAAAAAAGCTATAAGATAATCTCGGTTAGCCTCTTTCATAATCATCAAAGTTTTTGAACAACTATAAATGCACTGCTTTGAAGGAATGTACATAGAATTCGTATGTTTTCAAACAAGTCAAACAAACGATTGCAACGCAACTATGAAAGATCTAAATGATCTGAGTTAAATAGGAATAAAACAGAATAGAGTTTATGTCGAAGAAAACAGCACATTTGGTTTTCAGTATAGAAAAAACGAATACATGTCGAAGGAGAAACAAATATAAAACAATATGTTTTAAATTGAATTGATATTTCATTATCATTCTTCTTTTGTGTATTACTTAAATGAAGAAAAACAGCGAACAATACCATTTTATATGCTAAACTATACTCTGAATTGATATTTTTCAAGTACTAGAAGAGAAATAACATTTATCGTTACCCACGTAAATATTCCCAACGGTGTCATTTACAACCTTTCTCGATTTCAAGTTTTTATTTTTCATGCTACGAAACTATTCAATTTTTAAGGGTTTCTAACAAAAAAAAAAGCATCTTAATCTGTGTAAGAATCCCATGAATTAGTCATTTTCAAGTATATACTATCAGGTATGTTGGTAATTTGATTGTAGGTCGTATAGTTTTCTTTCTAGGTCAAATCAACACGTGAAAGCGAGATGAGGAAACAGTCTATGCACAGCACGATAGAATATCTTGACTTTTCTCTTCCTTTTTCTTTTCTGTTATTCTCTCTCTAATTTTAAATATTCTTTAAGAGTATTATGTGTGTAAGCCGAGAGTGATGGTCTGAATTCTTTTTTTGTTTATTGGTTTCGAATGTTTTATATCGTGATGATTCCAAAGAAAAGAATTGTTTATTGATAAATGGAATATCTCAATCGGCTATACGTTTTAAAAAATGATGAGCAGCACAAACAAATAATATATTGCCGAAGAAGATACTAGTAGTTGCAGACTTCGAAAGATCTTTTCGTTAAAAAAAATACCATTTTTTATATTTTCAGGAAATATATTTGAGTGTATAGTTTCAGTAAACAAAACAGATGAGAATTGAGCTATGATTAGAACATTGATAAGTGTAATGTGTGACAGAAAAAACTCGATTAAAATATATATTACAAAATATATTTTTTCGTTTTCTCGAAATCAAAAGAAATAATTATCAATATTATGAATATGATATGTGTCTAACGACAGTAATTGCATTCAGCTGAAGTTCTCTATTTGAAGTATTAACGGCTAGAAATTTCTTTTTTGATAAAAAGCTCGAAGTAAAATGTAAAACAGTCTATTCGTGAAAAATGTCAAGGATTCCTTGATTACTAGCAAAGTATATCATAACTCTAACTATTTATTAATTTAATGTTCCTATCACATTAAACCATAGTAATATACCGTGTATTTTTTTGTTTTTCTACTCATTGATCGATCCGTTTTTTTTGTATCTAATGTATACTGAACTGCAGAGTAAATTTCAATTGATTAAACGATTCGAATTGGCATTCTTTATCATGATATTCATATCTTGATTTTTCAATTAGCTGTTCTGAACTCTATCAAGTTTCCATGCTAATTATGAATGAAGGTTAATGAGAGTTGAAGCCCATGTGACATGAAGTGCTTATTTCCAGGAAATTCATATGCAATGATTATGAAAAATTTTCATGAAAATTTAACACGATACTTTCAGATATCGGAGCAAGAGATTAATTTTAAAATGACAAGATAGAAATCAGCAATTGTCACCATTCAACAAACAAGACTATTTTCAATAAACATATTCATTCAGTTATGATGAAATAAATAAAGTTAATTTTAAATTAATCTAATTAACATTTAATTTGTTTAAATATATATTTTTAATCATTAAATAATATCTTTTATAGCTTGGAAAAATTACACAATTTTCAAATATTTTAATATTATTTCTATTCTTTATTGCTTATACATTTGCTACAATTAATCAATGTTTTTTAATAAGCGTCTTTTTCAATCGAGCTAATTTAGCTGCATGTGGTATTTATTTAAAAATTAAATATTTATAATAATAAAAAAAAAAAAACTAATCTTCTAGGAGCTGGAATTTTATATTTTCTTCTCTATTTACCATATACTATTTTAATTAATTATGATACTCAAATAAAAACATGGCAAAAAATGATTGCAGTAAGATCCTTAAAGTTTCAATACAAAATAAACATATTTTTATTTTTCTAGTGTCTTTCATCAACTGTTGCTTTTGGACTTGGTTGTGATTATATCGCTCGATTTGAAGGTATGGCTAAAGGTATTCAATGGTTTAATATAAATCGAAGCGCCAAACCTAATGATAATTTTACATTTCTTTACTGTATTATAATGATGTTAATCGATTCAATCATATATATGTCATTAACTGTTTATATTGAAAATATATTTCCCGGTAATAATAAATAATAATTATGAAATAGAATTGAATTTTTTCTATTGAATATTTAGGTGAATATGGTATTCCACAAGTATGGTATTTTCCTTTTACGAAGAGTTATTGGTTTGGTTTTGATGCAGAAAAAATTCGTCAACGTACAGAAGAAATAGCATGTGAACCCAATCAAAGTCAAAATGGTTTTTTTTCTTTTTGTTTGCGTTAAAAAAAGGTAAAAGCGTATTTCTGTTTTAGCTCCAAATGATCTAGGCTATGTTGGCGTTGAAATAACAAATCTATCAAAATATTATGGAAATAAAATGGCATTAAAAAACTTATCGGTTAAATTTTATCGTAATATGATAACAGCATTTCTTGGAAGAAATGGAGCTGGAAAAAGTACAACATGGTCAATATTAACTGGTTTAATACCACCATCAAGTGGTACAGCATATATTGATGGTTATGATATATTAACAGATATGAAAATTGTACGACAACGACTTGGTTTTGCTCCACAATATAATATTTTATTTGATTTATTAACAGTTAAAGAACATTTAGAATTTTTTTCTGAGTAAGATAATTTATTCATTTTTGCATAAGAAAAGAGTAATGTATTTCGTTTTTTTGTTGATTAGATTAAAAGGTGCACCAAACGAATTAATTCAAAGTGAAACAGAAAAAATGTTAAAAGATTTAACATTAGAAAAAAAAGCCGAAAGTTATTCAACAGAATTATCTGGTGGCATGAAAAGAAAACTGTCAATTGCTATTGCTTTTATTGGAAATTCAACAACCGTTATTTTAGATGAACCAACAGCAGGTATAAATAAATTGTTTTAAAATTCTATAAATCGTCAAAATAGAGAATTTTAGGAATTTTCATTCAGGAGAAATATACATTGATGAAATGATTTTCAATTATTGATTAAAGGGGATTCAACCTCTTACAGCTGTCACTTTTCGAGGATCTGAGTCGGAAAACCACACTCTGACTGGAAATATAAGATCAACGTATTTTCGAAGTTTCTTTTAATGATAACAAGCGTTTAAATCAAATCTAAATAGTATTTTGAATAGCCAATGAAGTTGTCTGTCAAATGTATTCCATATCAAAGTTTTATAGATGAAAAATGAGAGTATGATTTCTGGAAAAGCCAACATGGATAGTTTTCATGTTTCAACGTACTGTATGAAAATTAGCTTTTAAGAGTATCATATTAACGAGCACAAAATGGTGATTTATCGCATTATTTCAGTATGAAAGCATTTCACAGATATTCCGTGTAATATTTTATTGAAATAGTCATTTCTCATTGTGAACTATCATCTATCTCTATAATCATATTAACTTCGAAATATCTTGTTCGAAGAATAAAAAAGAATTTCAAAGATTTTTTTTTTTAAATAGGTGTTGATCCGTTTGCTCGACGAGCAATATGGGATCTAATATTAAAATATAAACCTGCACGAACAATTGTTTTATCAACACATCATCTCGATGAAGCTGATTTACTAAGTGATCGTGTAGCAATAATATCGTCCGGTGAATTAAAATGTGTTGGTACAACAATGTATTTAAAACGAAAATATTGTGAAGGTTATAATTTAATTATTGAATTAACATCAACATCA